GATTTTATTTTCAAAATTTTAACATTTTTTTAAGGAACTACATAAATCCGCCTTGAACAGGGAACAGGTTTATCATATAACGTGATAACGAGCAGATTACAACTAGTTTTGCGTTAAAAACTTGACAGTGTTAGAGCATGGTGCCGGGCTATAAAATGTCAGCACATTTTGTCACCCTATTCTTTTATGTCAGAAAGAAATTCACAGATATAAATGTCGGCTCACTCCATGACATCAGGGTGAGTTTCCATGTACTGGCAAAGGTCGCACACATTCTGGTCGTCACAATAATACCGAACGCAACCTCTTTCACTTACATGTATACCTGATGATACGCTCTGGTATTTCTTCCCGCACTCTGAGCAGTACTCTTCAGTTATCTTTCCCTCGCCATACTTGTCGATCAAGAAATCTACAGCACTTTGGGAAGACCTTGTAGAAACCACCGGCTCTAAAGAGTGATAATGGTTTTCTGCTTCGTGACCAAGTAGAGCCATACTTCCTATATCTTGGCTTTTCTTTGAGCTATCGGGGCTGATAATTCGAAGAGCATTTTGGCCTTAACTGGATACGAGAGCCACTTCCACAGACAACATGTTTACTAGACCCCAGAGGACAATCCAATCTCCCCAGGTCCCTGGTGTGGACATCTTCTTCAGATAGGTGTCCCAGGCACGATAAGAGACAAACTCTTTTAGATGATCCCCATCTGGTGTGGTGGGATGTGCTCGCAAATATTCCACTACTGCCTTGCGTAGCTGTGCTGCTGTTTGCTCAGGCATGTTAAGGCGTTTAAGTTGGTCACTCATGGCGTGGAATAGACAATTCCCATCTCCTGGTGTTGGGGGCTGACAATACGCAAGTCAAGCGGTAGAAACCTCATGATCGAGTTTTGACTTTTCAGATTCGCAGCTTTGAATGATTTTATAACAAGTATTTGCTGGCATTTTGTCACTGAACAACCAATCTGGCTCGTTATTCGTGGTAGAGATTGTAGCAAGTTCGCACAAATCACAAACCATTTCTAGGCGGTTTATACCACGCGGTGAATTACAGTCAATAAACTTGGATGCTAGCAAGTTTTTCGTGAATAGGCAAGTAAAAACCCCACAATCACGGAAATTAGTCTGCTTCTCACAATGCTCGATCTTCTCAGTCCAGTTATCTTGGTGCATTACATCTCTTTTTTTCTATCTTTAACAAATTGACGCTCCTTTGACAAAAATCCATCCTTTATAGTGTCAAAAATTGTTCTGAGTGTCTTTTCTTGTGTTTGTTCATAAGAATCGTAGATGTGAATACACATAGCTATCACGCTTATAACAACCAGCAGCCAGTGATCCTCGCTCGGCAAGTTCACAGGTACTATAAGATATTCAAAATCTTCAAGGGGCTTGTCTCCAATGTGTTTTCTGTAAGTCGACGGCTTTCTTGTAAGGGAAGGGTAGAAGTAGGTATTAGCCAAGGAAACCTGTGGCGGCAATCCTTTTTGTTTAAGATAATCAAAATATAAACCTATTGTGTCACCACTTAGTTTCCGATTTTCCACGATCTCGTTAACACTTTTATCAAGTTGACTACCCTCACTTTTGAAAGTTTCATTTTTCTGGTTGTCACCCTCCTCGATCAATTCGAATGGTAATGTGCTGTCATCATCATTTTTTGAGTTTGTTTTACTAGCATCAGTATTTGTTGAGGTGTCTTTGCTCTTGTTTTTGTTATGTTTTGTCCTCTTTTCTGAAGTTTCCTTCACTGCCTTCTTCTGTCGATTTGCTTCCTCATCCAGAGTTAACGATGTGACGTCATTAACTGAGAACTACTTCTTTACCATAGTTCCCGATTTTGGGTCAATGTATTTAATATTATACTCAGGTAAATTAAGGCATGGATCCCCAGTGATTCAGTCAAAAACTGATGGGGGGTGGTCTATCTCTGAGCAATTACGCAGTTAGAAGATGAGACTTTGCCAGATACATACATGTGTGGTTTCTGTCAATTAGGTAATTTTCAATTATGCAAATGTTGTCACGTGACTCCACACGGCCAGAAAACAATAAAACGTCTTTAAACAAAAATGGCAACACTTTTTGTTGTGAGTTATTGAACCGGACTTGTTTAGGACAATGTGTAATACAAGCATCTACAAAACTGTGCTTGGCCTTTTTTGAATTTTTTACTGTTTTAGAAAATAAACGGCTTTTTCAACTAGACCCAGTCCCCCAAAGCAATTGTATCCCATCTTANATTTTGGGTCAATGTATTTAATATTATACTCAGGTAAATTAAGGCATGGATCCCCAGTGATTCAGTCAAAAACTGATGGGGGGTGGTCTATCTCTGAGCAATTACGCAGTTAGAAGATGAGACTTTGCCAGATACATACATGTGTGGTTTCTGTCAATTAGGTAATTTTCAATTATGCAAATGTTGTCACGTGACTCCACACGGCCAGAAAACAATAAAACGTCTTTAAACAAAAATGGCAACACTTTTTGTTGTGAGTTATTGAACCGGACTTGTTTAGGACAATGTGTAATACAAGCATCTACAAAACTGTGCTTGGCCTTTTTTGAATTTTTTACTGTTTTAGAAAATAAACGGCTTTTTCAACTAGACCCAGTCCCCCAAAGCAATTGTATCCCATCTTAACACCCTCGATTTTAAATATCTAAAAAAGGCCAAGCACAGAAGTGATATATTAAAAGGTCTTAACATTATGCAACCGGTAAAATAATTGAAGACACACGAAAAAGTGTTGCCGTTTCAAGAACAAGCTTTTTCAGCCGATGGAGGTCACGTGACCTAATTTGCATAATGTCAAAGCACAAAATTGACACAAACTAAAAATGTGGGTAGCTAGCAAAGTTTTATGTCTCTTCATCTAAAGCTCTTAGATGTAGACCACCCCCTCACTTTTGAAGAGAGCAAATTGAGGCCCATGCCTTAATTTACCTGAGTAACGGCGTTTATCGTGGTCAGTTTTAATAATCTCACCCTCTGTATGTGTTTTTAGGGTCAATTTTTTACCTGTCTTTTTAGCTGCTGTCTCCTTTATAACTCTTACGCGAACTGTTTCCCCAATGTGGTACTTTGAAGGAGGATCTTTTTTTTAAGTTTCTCCGTATCATATTTTGCGCTGCTTTATTTGACGCCTTTAATGCCTTTTCTCTACATTTGCTTTGTAAAGACGCCCACGTTTGTAGGTCATCAGCTGTAGGAAAGCTACACTCACCATCAGCCTGAGACTTATGGAGTACCTCTTCCTCCGCGTCATACTCAGAGTCACTATCTAGACAAAGTCGATTTTTCAGTGAGTTAGGCTTCGTCCATAATATACTTCAAAAGGACAGAGAAGTCCAAGTGATCGATGGGGTGATTCGTTATAAATCTTCTGGTAAAGGGGAAGATTTTCAACCCAGTTCATACCTTTGTGCGTAATCCTTTCCATCATGTCATAGCGAAGTTTTTCTTTCCATGTCCTATGTGACCTCTCATCTTTCCCTTGAGTAGTCGGGGTGTAGGCGGAACTGCGGATAATTTTAACGTTCATTTCTTTGCAGACAGCAGTCACAGTGCCTTTAAACTCACTTCCTTGGTCACTCTGAATGATTTCTGGTGTTCCGTGGTCATTGTAAATTTCAACAAGTGCCTGAGCTATTCCATAAGAGTCTTTGGATTCGAGTGGGCGAAGATGCAAGTATCTACTGAATATGTCAATCAGAGACAGAATGTATTTATAGGTTTTATCTTCTATTGTGATGGCTATGCTACTCATGTTTACCAAATCAATTTGATTTCGTTCTTGCACAGTTTTTGCAGTGATTGGTTTCAGTGGAGCCTTGTTTCTGAACGTGGGTCTTAATTGCTGCTGTTCCTTCATTCTATTTAAGATGTTATGAATGGGTTTTTCTCCTGTTCCTGAATAAATGTTTTCCATGTTCTTTTTAAGCTTTCGTGCGCCTTCTCCTTTTGTTGATTTGTAGTAACTCTTCACGAAGCTCTCAACCTCTGATTTCTTGAGAATGATTTTTCCTGTACAATTTTTTCCTTCCTCTTTCCATCTGCAGGATCTTGAACCTGCTTTATTTCGTACCTCCCACTTCTAAACCTTTAGTACACTTTTTGGCGTAATTTCGAGTCTTTACTTTTGGGCCAGTCAGATAACAAATCGGGCTTTCGTAGAACGTCTAATAGCTTGTCGTATACATCATTGGACAACGGACCCTTAGTCACCAACGGGGGAGGTTTCTTCTTAGCGATGTTTCTCTTCTGTAAAGGATTACAGTTAAATTATAACAATACAGTCTACTTATCAAGAATAAACTTTTTGCGAGGAAAATATAGCAAAAATAATCGCACAGTTCTGTACAAATCTCATTGATGTGAAAACCGTTAGGATAATCACACCACACACCTATGAATTTGTTATGTTAGTTTGCTCTCTTAATTCTATCGCTAAACTACTTCTCTTAAATGGAGGCTAATTTGCTTTTCATATCGAAAACCAAAGTGACAGATCGATCAAACCTGGCACTTTGCACAACATTCGGCAATTTGAGTTTGCTTAAGAAACACGGCTGATTCGCTTATAATATTTATGCAGGATAATCTCAGAGAAGTTTTCCCATTCACAATTTTTTCTAAGTAATAAATCTAGACTACATAAGATCATTTCGTACGCCAAAGACAATCTTTGCACACATAAGATGATAACACGTGCAAAGTCATGCCGAACAATGTATCAATGAAAAGCGTAAAAAAACATACCTCTTTTTGCTCTTCTTCTCCTGATCCACTTGTTATGATAAAGGCAGCCAGGAGCAGAAAAATAATTGTGAATAATAGAATAATTTTCATGATGTTAATGATTTGAGATGACAGCTACAGCAGCTAGTGGAAGTACCGAAACTAATTGGAAAGCACGTGTTGTCATTTGAGCCTGTAACTGACGTCATCACTGTCGTCATGACATCATCAGGAAGACATAACCTGATTGCAAGATTTGACTTATTTTGCTTTAACACAATTTTATTAAGAAGATTTTCTTGCAAAANGTACGTGCCGCGCACGCGTAATAGCAACCTGGAGATTAGGTTTGCAGGCTCCTCTGGTCTCCCGTAATAAGGGGGTGGAATGAGTCTCGTAAACATGGCCATCAGAGACGCTTACTAATATGAAAGGATGCCTAAATAAAGGATTGTGCCAGGAACAGCATATACAAGAATCCAGTCAAGGGTTGTTTGCCGATTTCGTCATGCACACTTATTCGCTCTTAAGCAAATTACAGGTTTCTAAAGCAATATAATTGGACGAATTCTTAAAAGACAATGTGTTTTCAGCAGTTTATCACTTACCCTTAAGATGATAGGCTATTTAGAGAAGAGCTGACTTCTTGGCGTCCACAAACGGATATTTGGGTTTAAAACATCCCACTGCAGTTAACGCTTTGGTCAGTGCTGTAGCGACACTCTGCTCCATGTAACCTAACATGGGCAGTCCACTGACAAGCATAGGTTCTTTTCTGGAGGGTAATTTGTGTGGGAGTGTTAGACTATAATACTTCTCTGGTAATCTGCAAAGGATGTGTAAACAATAGAGAGGTTAACGCATTTTAAGCATTGTGTTTAATCAAGTTACACTAGGAACAACAAAATGGAAGTTGTAGTTTGGGGATATCTTTTGCCAGGCAATTTCAATCTCGTTAAAGCTCTTGGCTTCATGTATTGATTTCAGTAGAAGATCCCCTAGCGAAGAGTGATGAGATTGTTGACGCTATGAGCACAGTACGAGGGCATAAGGATGCATGTTGGTATCTGACATGCTGCTGCTGGCAAATCTTATTGCTCTTCCAATTTCCAGCTCGTTAGTTGCGCGAATAAGCACCCCATAATTTCACCACTTCTCCATTGCCGTACTGCACGTGTGATGTCAAACTCCACATAGCCTCGAGGACGGAAGGGAAAGATTGTGACCGTCTCTGCCTGTGGTTGGGCTTCTATATCGGTGTTATCCAGACCCAGGTAAGAACTGGACCACCAATGAGTGCTGTCTCTCTTCGTGGAAGTGGCTTGAGCTGCGTTCCAAGATTTCTTTACCAGGTGCACCTAAAACCCATAATAGACCTTTTTACTGATACGGCGGCCATATTGTATCAATTAGATTTAAGGAGTATTATGGGATGCCCAGGGGGAACTCGCTCAGTATTTACGCGCGCTTTTCGGGCCAATTTTTCCTAGTTTTCCAATTTTTTCCAAGTTTTCCTAGAAAAAGATCGTCATGGGAAAAAAAGGTCGTTGTGCCGTGTTTGGATGTAATAATAATTGCCTTTTCCCCGAGAAATATACAGTGAAGTTCTCTTTTTGCCGGAAAAGCGCGCGTAAATACTGAGCGAGTGTCCCCTGGGCATCCCATAATACTCCTTAAATCTAGTAAATTCAATATGGCTGCCGTATCGGTAAAAAGGTCTATTTAAGAAATGGTAAACGTGCAGCGTGCAACCATGGAATTATGGATGCACGCGGGAGGTTGCTAAGCACGAAAGAAGCGTAAGAGTCGCCCGAGGCGATAGCCGAGTACGACCGTCTAGCTTCTTGAGTGCTTAGCAAACCTCCCAAGTGCATCCATAACTCCATGGTTGCACAGCTACAACGTTTACCATTTCTTTTATAACATAATCAAAAGAGAAAAACATTATTTTCCATTTGCCTTCGGTTGAGTCATCGATCCGAAGTCATGTATTCTGCCATCTGCCCGCCCCTTTGAGTTTTTCTTTCGCTGAATCAACCGTTCTCCGTCTTCAGGTAAATTGCAAAACGTTTTTCGTTGTTATTCTGAATGGCATCTGTCTACTTGCTCTTAACATTAGGGTAAAAACTTTGAGGGAAAACTATAGCTTCAACTATAAACACCAACTAAAAAATAAGCTAAAACTAAATAAATGAAATAATTATCAAGCTTATTTATGTGACAATTTTTGAAATAAACGTAAAGTAGAAATGAGAATTTTTGACTGTAATTCCTTTAGAATAACAGGTAACTCTAATTTTAAAAAGAAATTAACTAGCTTTGTATCGACATCTGTCTGGGCAAATCCAGCTATGAAAGTCAACGTTGCAACTGAAATTCGCCAACACACAGCCAGCGCTGAAGCTGTTGTTTTTCGACCGTTCTCTGAACGACTGTTATGAATGAACACTGAGGAACAAAATAATACACACAGAAGTTATTTTTTGAAAAATTTATTTGAAAACCCAAATGTTTCTGTACTCAAATGAAATTCGCTTATTCCAGCGTAATGTGACCGTTTAAACTCAAGCAAAATTTTTAATCGATGCGGTGAAAACTTCACAACAAAGCTGTCTCGAATTTGAGCGTGTTTCCTAAAATATTTGCTTGAATTTAGCATCAGCTTGACCTGAAAAGGTCAATAACACAATGCTAACTGATAAATTTACATTTCAAACAGACTTTCTCTTCTATAAAAAACACACAAAATGTACCTTAAATCTTCGCTCGCTCGATTTTCCTTCAGCTGATTCTAGCCGCGAGGAAAACAGTGATTAATTCATCCAGGGCAAATTTGTTGCTTGATCTTTTGTCTTTTTTGCTTCAAAACGACAGCTTAGTATTTTCCTCAACTTCCATTTTTCATCTGTGCATTTCATTGGTGTATTTTACCGTCAGGAGAGGAGATTTGTTGAATTTGCCTAAATTTTACCGCGCTAGCTCAGTTTCTTGGCGTGCACCCACGGGCAAAGGGTAATGGCTAACTGACCAATCAGAGCGCGCGATTTACTTTTGTTATGTTATAATGGATTATGTTCATTATTTATAACAAATATTAAAATGATCTTATTATCAGTTGTATCTCTCAGCTGCAATCACACCTAAGTTGTGAGTGTAACCAAGGGTTAGTGAATTTCGGCTCGCAAAGGGCGTGGCTGGGAGAGAAGATTTCCTATGCAACATTTGGATCTACCCTTTATTGATAAAAGATAGCGATAAATTATTGAAACAAGCTAGCAAATCTAAAGCAAACAAGCAATTGAATAAATAACATATTTGTTCTGACTTCTGTGCGTTTATTTCCCTTTGATGCGATTACAAAAAAAGAAAAAACAAACGAGCAAAAAAGCAAAAAGCACAAGATGAATCGAAACTGACTTTTGAGGACTGCCGTTATGGTATAACTTTGACATTGTTTGTCTTGACTATTGTCCCAGTCACTAAGCTAGTTTCCGCTAAGTGCCTGGAAGCGCTGTTTTAAAGGTAAGGACACACTACTATGGGTCTACTATTGACTACATATAGGAATAGAACAGCTTTTAGCAAAATACACTAAAACAACTTTAAGAGCACAACGTTTTTTTGATGATTTAATGGGACTTGAGAAGAAAATCATTTGTTTTGTCCAAGCTGAAATCAATTAGTATTGATATGTAGTTTCGTGAACAGCGCTTCCAGATTGGATTTGTACCGCAACTAGATCTATTTTATATGCACCGGGATTAAAACGAAGTAAACTAAAAGGACCAAGATATCTAATAGACTTATTGCAGCATTTGCATAAAGCGGGGGATAAAAGGAGTTCCCTGGATGGTATGCCAGCTCGGCTTGTGAGCAAACAAGTAGTATAGGTACATCTTAGCGGATATGATCTGTAACGGGCTGCAGGCACTGGGGAGGTTTTCAAACTGAACCAGCGAACGCTTGTTAGGAAATTGAGGGTGCTTGGACACCAGGAGGTACTGAAGCCTGTTGTGTTGTGTGCTACCTTCCAAGGTGGTATCTTGGGTTACTCCAAGTCTGTACACCATACCTCGGCCAGTGTTGTACGTCCGATAAGCTTCCGTCTCCTTGGCAACTATCGCCAGCATTATCACGGCTACCACACCAAACATCTTCCCTGTTAAAATTTGAAGTTTCGCGTTAACCCGCTTTGAAATTTCAGAAGGACGCCCAGCGACGTACTGTTTTCTGCAAAATATCTGTTCGGAAAAGCAAATATTGTCTGGAATTTTCTATTACCTGAGAAAGGCTAAAAATTTCTAGTGACCGCGTTCCATTTATGAACAATTTTTGAAGCTTATCTAATAAATTTCCTTACGATTTTCTGAATTTTGATTTTTCACATTTCACTCCCCAAGATAGACTTTCTTCGCAGAAAAAAGAAAACCTAAAATTGTCGGATTCAAAAATGATCAAATTTGTGATAGAGAGGGGAATCAGAAAAATTCTCACTTTTATAACACGTTACTGATTTCACCTACAATTTTCGGGAAAATAACACTGAAGCCCTTGTAATTTCGAATAGACTCAAGTTGCCCTAGGATGCCCGAACTGATATACGAAATTTATAGCGCCGCTTAGAATACATTTCTGGAGATTTAAAAGTACTCTGGACAGACTAAAAAGTGTCTTCAATGATGTATTTAGGTGGCAAGCGTCGTTGGGTACCCCTGACTGAAGGTCAACATGTTATTCGGTTTTGCATGTAACAAAAGTCATAAGTTGGCCCTTTCGAAGTATTGGTTTACTGTAGCTAGTGTTGAATTCGTTGCACTATTGGACTGTCTTGGAGAAAGATATCGCTTCTTTTTTAGTCATTCACTTCTTTCACATTAACTATAATACACCTTGTTTACCCACCAAAGTTTTGCATAAGTATTGTTTTCAAGTTCTCTCAAAGAAATTAAGGCATGGGTGTTTTTTCAATTTCCCTCAAAAAGTCAAGGGGTGGTCTATATTTTGAGGATTAAGGCCTATAGCGACAAAACGTGAGTAAAATAATGACTCTCAAAAGTTTATGCGATTCCAAATAAAAGAGTGTGTAAATTAGGTCACGTGACCTTTAACGGCCATTTTGCGCGAGAAAAACTTTAATTAGAAATGGCACCATTTTAAAATAGTAGTCAATCAAAGAAATTGTAACCAAACATGTCCTTAGATGAATGANACCCACCAAAGTTTTGCATAAGTATTGTTTTCAAGTTCTCTCAAAGAAATTAAGGCATGGGTGTTTTTTCAATTTCCCTCAAAAAGTCAAGGGTGGTCTATATTTTGAGGATTAAGGCCTATAGCGACAAAACGTGAGTAAAATAATGACTCTCAAAAGTTTATGCGATTCCAAATAAAGGAGTGTGTAAATTAGGTCACGTGACCTTTAACGGCCATTTTGCGCGAGAAAAACTTTAATTAGAAATGGCACCATTTTAAAATAGTAGTCAATCAAAGAAATTGTAACCAAACATGTCCTTAGATGAATGACTAGACATCTGTGCCCGGGCTTTGTTGAATAATTTATTGAAAGTGTGAATAAATGTATTTGTGTACTAGTACCCAGTCCCCTTATCAACCGATTTTCGAATTTCGTTCCTGTCTAAAAGATTAACTTAAAAGGCCCCGGACACAGAAATGATGTACCCACTAGTCTCATAACTATGACGATAACTGCAACTTCCAGGTAGTAATTAAAAGTGGTGCCATATTGCCAAATACATTTTTGTGCTAAAAATAGCCTTAATAGGTCACGTGACAATTAGCGTCTCCAATTATCATTCAAAGTTATTAAACTTATACTCAGGAAGTCTGCCCTTAAGTTATTTTATGCTACACTGAAAGCTTAAGAAGTGAAGACCACCCCCTCAGCTTTTGAGGAATTAAAAAGAAGACCCACGCCCAGGAACCTTAATTTTCTTGAGCTCTTCGGAGGATTGTAAATCCCAAGAGAAATTGGAAAGAATGCTTATTCAAAACTCTTGGGGGATAAACAAGGTGTATTATGGGAATGTGAAAGTAGCGAGTTACCGACTGGGGTCAAAATTTGTCCCCCAAAACAGTCCCACAGTGCAATTCGACACTTCGGTTGTTCACCATTCAAACACTTTGCGGAAAATCTGGTTGGAAATTAAATGGAAGACGACTTTTTTGAACGTTTCAACGGAAAATTCCCGGGAGCAACGGAACATCTGAAAAGGTAGTGCTGTTTTTCTGGACGGAGTGTTCCAAATGGAAATTTGCTCTTGATTCCATTTCTTCCAGGCATTTCTTCAAACCATCTTTGATACCATTTTCAAGTCTTCGTAGCAGCTTTTCGGTAACTGGAACTAATTGTACAAATAGTAAAGGCAACAAAAGTTCCGGGACGAAATTTAACAGTTCTGAATTTTGCTTACTAACGAAGCTGCTTAATAAACCGTGAACCACACGGGGTTTGCCCAAGTAAATGGTAAACAACCCACAAACAGAAAAAGATAGCTGTACATGTGTAAGCCAAAAAATCCAACGTGAACACATGCTTATGGTGCTCTAAACACAAACTAATTAAACGCTCTTTTAAAAATGCTGTAACCCAATAAGAAAGAGAGGTGACTAGAAATAGTGACATACCAAATCTGCTCTTGACCAGCTCCAAAGCCGACCCTGATGCGGTGAGATCTGGAGCGCAAATGAGCAAAACTAGTTTGTTATTGCCAATATACTTGTTCAGTGATGACATATCCTATGAATTGTTAGGGTACATTTTTGCTCAGTCTGCTTCATTGTATGCGCTTCTCTTCGTAATCATTAATATTTAGTCAGTTTATTCTATTTATTTTGGTGTTGGGCGTTTTAACTTTATTGAGGGATATATATTATATAAATAAATTTGTTTTTAGGTGGGTTCAGAAATCAAAAGTTCCACCATATCTCAAATATCTTTTGTTAAGGGACAAAGGATGGTGTTTACAAGCTGTCAAAACAACTGGACACACTTTAGATTTTACTAGCAAACCTTTGCTTGTCAGTTAAGCCCTTGGCTAAAAGATTTTTTGCACCGACCTCTTTGGTGTTGGGATCAATCAAAGACAGTCTTAATTCATCTTTTTCTTCGTACTGCTTTAACTTTGATGCCAGTTCGATGTAACATATCCTTCTCTTGATACTATAACTTTCATCGAGCGTGGCAAGTGGTACGCCTCATATAGATACAACATCGAAGTAGTGATACTCGAGGAAGTGATAAAAAGCTTTCAAAACTTAAAATTAAGCACTCGATCGTTTGCCATATCAGGGAGATTCGTCCATATGACCGGCGCGGACATGCTCTGTGTTGCCGAGTGTGTGTTCACTTCCCAAGAGTCTTTCACACGTTATGTCCCATAGTTTCGAAAAAGAGGTTCTCGAATGACTTTTAGAGAATGCTTAAAAGCCTTTATTTGGGTTTTTAAAACGATAATTAAAGACAAAGTCATAGGTATTCACTATCAAAACAAGCTTACAAGTGAAACAAGACTTACTTGCTCATAGAAAGCGAGATTTGAGATAAATGAGTAGTAAAATACCTTTCAAACGAGGTGTGTCATACACTTACTTACCTATTCTGAGAAACGCTCGCACAGTCCTTGCCTCCAGCTGCAACTGTCTCCAGATGAGCGCCTAGAGCCAACTGATTGAAAGTTACACCAATTTCTGTGTCTAATACCCTTTGGCTGGTAACAGGAAAGTTAAATACTATATTGTTAAGGCGCTAAACTTGAGCATCACTTAGTTGTTAGAGAGAGTATATTAGTCGTCTTTTTTAACTTTAACAGTAACTGCAATTTAACCTCATACATATCTCGTAACAATCGATGAACAGTACAAGATTCGATGTTGAACAGTATTCACTCGTGCGTTTCCACTACTTTCTTCTTCTTTTTTCTTTTTTTTACCAAAATAACCTTCAAGCTCCAAACAGCGGGGCTTGTCGAATTAAAACGTTAGGTTCCCAATTATAGGGATCCTTGGGGCTGGCTTTTTTCGGGGGTTCGTTGTTTCCAGGGCTCAAAAAGTGTTAACTTTTTAGACAACACGATGAAAATAACGCCTGATGCAAATGTAGTTGGAACACTATGTTCCTTCAATCGCCGTCCTCGAGTTTCAACCCTTATTGCCGACTCATAGTTATCCCTTAAAATACCTATAGGGGCTTATGTTGTCCCAGTGACCTTAGTAATTCCAGTAAAAAGGGAAAAACCCTATTGGGTATATTCCGCTGCACGTCTTAGTCTAAACTTGAAGTTGTGGGTGCCACATGCTTGATCGCAAACGCGCGCCAGTACCTGCACGCATGCTTAATCGGATTTTAAATGCAGACATTAGGGCTATTCACAAGTTGCTCGAGATTTTCCAAAAAGTTTCCAGTAATTTCTCAAAAAGTTGCTCAAAAAACAATCGAAAACTGGTTTTTGCAAGGAAAATTGTTCAAAAGTTGCTCGAAAAAAACAAAAACCTATTTATTTTTGGTCTGATGCTAAAATATGCATGTTGTTCAACATACATGAGTAAGATTGCTAAGCATTAATTGTGCAATTTTGCGGCGTAACCAGCTTTGCTAAATAGCGTAGTGTCCTCAGTTAAAACCGAAAATTGTAATGAGCCAATAAAATTGTTGAATAAGCTTCTTCACCCGAGACGCTCAATTCAGTGGAGTGTGAATCTTCGCCACCATTTTAAATATTCTCTAAAAACCACTGACCTAGCAGCCCGGCTACTTTTATCTTGCGTCC